CATTTGAATGATGATAGATTAAGTCTAAGATTATACATGTGTATTTTTCCTTAGTTATGTGGATGGAGTTAAGGGCTATAGATTGTATTGCCTGAATCTTAAGCCACCTAAGTTTATTATCAGTTGTGATTTTATGATGAGTCTTCCATATTGAAGCACATTCAGAAGGGTGTGAGAAAGGGAAAGAGTAGTAGTGGTAATACAGTTGAGATAGAGTTGTTGGCTTCAGAAAATACTCCAAGATATGTATTAGAAATTCCTTATGAAAGAGTGGAGGAGGATAATGACTATGACAAGGTCATTAAACCTACTCCATATGAGGAAGAGCTTTAAATTGGAAGGAGAAAAATAACCAAAAAGGCAATAGTACTGTATGGTTTTGAGGATATAGTAGTTTATGTCACAAGCCTAGAGCCATCTACTTTTACGGAAGCATATTGACAGTAGCAAGTGGAATGATGCTATGACTAGAAAAATATAATCTCTTCAAATATTATTAACATGGTTGCATTGTTTGATTTGGAGTTGGAGTAGCTTGATATCAAAACTGTATTCCTTCACGGAGAGTTAGAAGAAAAATTTATATGATTTAGTTTGAAAGGTTTGTTGTTAAGTCAAGGAGGACGATGTTTGCAAGCTAAAGAATTTGTTGTACGACCTAAAAAAGTCTTCTAGAAAGGGGTACGAGTGCTTTGATATATTCATGATTGGACACGGATATGTTAAAAGTAAGTGTGATAATTGTATCTATTTTAATAGATATATTAGATTTATTCATCTATTTGTTATTCTACGTAGATGATATGCTTATTGCTGCAAAGAATTCCTCAGAAATCAGTAAATTGAAGATTAAGCTTGTCAGAGAATTCAAGATAAAAGATTTAAGTTCAGTAAATAAAATGTTGGTAATGCAGATACGAGAGATAGAAATTTAGAAAAATTGTGGCTATCTCAGAAAGAGTATATAAAGAAGGTCCCCACCACTATAGTTAAGCAAGTCTCAGTTTAAAACACGATTTTTTTTTTTTAAAAAACAATTCTCTGATTCTTTGAAATCCGTTAAGAACTCCGAATTTTTCAAAAGATCTTAAAAAAATCACACTTTTTTAATGGAACCGACACAAATCCGTATTTCATTTTTTTCAAAAAAAATTATTCCCTATAATTTTATTTCTTCATTAGCTTAGTATTATTGAATTTTGGTTTAAAGAAAAGTACATCAACAGTGGGAGAAAATTAAGAATCTTTATTTAGGAAAAAAAATTCCTTCAAAATTTCACCATTGAGTTCCTTTAAAAAACGTGTATGAAAAAATACAAGCAATATATTTCCCAAAAAATAAGATATCAAACCAGTCGTATATCTCAAAATAATAGGTAGAGCTAGAAGAGTAACCCAATAAAAATACTTTTTTTTCTTGAAACCCTTAGCTTCCTTATAAAGAGCAAAAGAGAGATTCAATCTAATTTAGGCAGCTAATAATTCAGTGTGAGATTCGAATTTTCTTAAGCATTTTGTTGTTTTCTTTATGCACAAAGAAGTTTAATTATATATATATATATATATATATATATTTGTAAAACAACAAAGTTCTAAATACATAAATCCTCCATTAAAATTGGCAAGATTATATAAGTTCTAGCCACCAAACCTGGCTTTATGCTTATTAAAAAAAAAGAAATACAACTTTAATTGGTCTCTTGTAAAAGTCTAAATTTAAGATACATAAAAAAAAAAAGAGTATACCCAAGTTCTCAAATACTCATATTTACATCACCATACGATATACATTCTCAAAAATTTATCATGACTTGTGAATTACATCAAACACTTCACGACCAATCTCTTTCTCCATCAAAACTCAAACTTGCATATGCCCAATTAACTTGATCATGATAAGCCAAGTTCGAATTCGATTTACTTGGTCTATGGCCAAGGATAGGTCATCGCATTAAGACAGGTTAAATGGACATAAAAACAATCATATTCCAAATATGATATGCTAAATTCCTCCATGTATATATATATATATATATATTATTGGTGTATACAACATAGTATTTTAGATATATCACTACATCTTTGTGTTTGTTAACTACAATCCTATACTGAGGGTCTTTTTTTTTTCTTTGAACAATAATCCTATACCTTACTTTACAGTTGTTGTTATTTAGTAACGTAGTTCTTGTATTTAATAATATTATTATTATTTCATTTTATGCTCCCAATAAATCTATGATAAGTTTTGTATTGTGACAACAAAATAAGCATGGTTGTTGGATTTATTGAAAGTTTAGATAATAATTGTCAAGTATTACTCTAGTGACACTTGGTAAGGCCATAAAATTATTGTTCAATAGCTTGAATGTATCTATACAATAAGTACACATCATAATCCTATATTTTATCTTTATAAATACAATTCGTCTCTTTTAAGCCATATCCGAATTATTCATGATTCTATAGCTTACGTTTTTATTTAGCGATCTGTATTTTTTACCTGATTTTTTTCTCAAATTTTTAGAAATGACAGTAATTTATTACCGACATTTTGGTTAGCTGACATATTATTTTTCCCCGATTTGCTAACTATGGTCGCCGTTATATTTGGAATGGAAAGTTCAAAGCCTGTGGGTACTCCTCTTGCTGCACATTTTAAATTGTCGAGATCATTATTTCTTAGGACAAATGCTGAAAACAAATTTATGTTTTGTGTTCCCTATGCAAGTGAAGTTTGAAACGACATGTATACAATGGTTTGCACTCATCCAGATATTACTCCTGTTGTTAGGGTTATTGACAAGTATATGACTAATCCAAGAGAAACATTAACATGCGATAAAATGGAATCTGCATTACCTATGGGTTACATCATATGTGGGTTTGGTGTTAGATGGAAGTAGAAAGTTTGGTGACAAGGTTATTGATTATGTTAATGCTGTTTTGTAGGTAATTTGGACTGTAGAAGATCTAATACAGGTTATGTGTTTACACCTACAAGAACTTCGACCAGTTGGAGTTCGATGCTATAAAGTGTGGTTGACTTGTCTATGACTAAAGCGGACTACATGGTTGTTACTGAGGCAATAAACAAGGTTATTTGGCTTGGAGGTGGTATAAGTGATTTGAGCTTACAATGTGACAATTGTTTATTTTGATAGTCAGAGTGCAACAATTTAGCAAAGAATCAGGTATATCATGCAAGGATGAAGTACATTGATGTCTGATACCATTTTATCTATGAGATAATAGTCGAGGGTAATATCTTGTTACTGAAGATTGGCATCAAGAAAAATGTTGCGAATATATTGACAAAACCAATTTTATTACAAAAGTTCAAGTTGTGCTTGGACTTGACTAATGTGTTGTCAAGGTGAGCACCCTCGGGCGTATGTGCAGCAGACGGTCGATGATCATATATTTTGGAATTCAAACCAAGGCGAAAATTTGTTACTTTTGTCTTGGATTCTTAGAATTAAGTGCTTAGTTTTTCTTTATTTTGGGTCTTCTATTTAATTGGGATTCATAATAACTATCCTATTATTTGTAGGAGTTTTGTTTTGGATAAAGTCAATTTGGTTTAGAATGGACTCGTGGACCAAGTTTATGTTAAAGTTAAGTTTTTCCCATAAAGTTGGGAAAGGTAAGAGAGGCGCTCACCTACTTGCTTTTGTGGATTTATTTTTTCTCTTTATATTGGGTTTATTTGTAGAGAGAAAGTGCCAAAGGGAAACTTAGGTGTAAAGAGAGAAAATTGTTTGTGGGAAACTACCAGTTGATCGAACGATGCTGGTTTGACTGGCCAGTTTTACAAGTTCTATGATTCTTTTTTTGCTGGATCTCTCAAGCATTTTCTTGCTTCAATTGATTTTTACTTTTTCATACTGCCCACCTCCATATTTGTGTAATGATCCCGAAGTTTTACCAGTAAGTATGACACCCTGCCTAGTTTATCTACCTATTCATTGACCAAATATTTTTATATTTTCTTGCCCACGCCGATCCTATTTTGTTCATCTCTCTATTTTATTTCCTTTTGCATGTAGACTGGAAATCTAAATCCCTTGTAATTAATCTCAAAGCCAATACTAGTTTAAATGTCATAATGATCTATTGATCACCAAAGTTGCAGGATCCAACCCTTAGTTTCGTAAATGTATTACTTATTTTTTCCTTTCTTTAACTTTTATTTAGTTCTCTAACTTTTATATGCATATATTTGACCGGTTTCATTTCCATCACATGGCATATATACACTTTCAGAAAACATTTACATAAGGTCCAACTTTTTATAAGGTCCAACTTTTTACTATAGAAGTAAGGTGTATCTCAAAAATGTACTAGAAAAGGTTGATTTGATGCTAAAAAACCCTTTAATTGATGATCTTGAAATCCAGATGCATATATGACAAAAAAAGCGATCCACTCAATCTATACAATTTTTTGAATTTTATAATTTGGAAGAAATAGATTTTAGGTCATTCAAAAGGTTTTCAATACCAAAACTGGACCTTTGGGCAGGATTTGATAATGGGTGCAGTTTGTATAGAGTCGAGGATCTAAACAATCAAAGTAAAGCCCACCTTTAAATAGTATTGACAAATGTGGTTTTAATACTGGAAATCTTTGTGATAGCCTTAAAATATATTTCCATCTCTAATTATAAAATTTAAAGCACAAAAAATAGAGTAGATCGAGCATATTTATGAAAACTTGAAAATTGACGGTCCAAAATGCATTACAAGATTCACTATTTACAAAACTTAAAATCCATTTTTTTTTCTCACGTCCATGTATCTTGATGTCGAGATGATCAGGATATTTGAGCATCAAAACAACCTCTTCTAATGAAATTTTTGAGGTGGGATTTAATTTGATTGTTTAGAGCCTCGGCTCAATATCAGTGTTTCCCTTTGATAATTGTCTTATCTTAATTGTTTAATGTTTGCACCTTATACAAAAACACCCTACAGTTAAAGAGAACCAAAAGGACTGCCCATACTTGTGTTTGGATTAGAAAAAGGGATCTGAATGTACAGGGAAACACTGCCCATAAAAAAACTGTGGGATCAGAAGTTACATGATAACCTAACACACCTGAAAGACATTGACATTCTGAGACTGAAACATTTTCATCACCACTCTGCACTATAAATTGCAGAAGGGAAGCATCAAGATTAAAAGATTTCCTATGTAGAGAGAGAATCAACAAGGTTGTTTCTTTGGGTGTGATGATTTCCTCATACTCTTTGCAAGGTTACCACTCTTTTGCAGACAATTTATGCTTGATGGAATAAGAGGGGCCTGAGATTTCCCATATGAATTCCAACAAAGGCCTTGCTGAATTCCCCTTGCGGTTTGTGATGGCTCAAGCTGTATGTCATTTAAATCAATGTTAGTACATGGAACAGCGTCACTGCAAGCTAGATGAATGGGTTGAGCTGCATATGTTCCAGTAATCTGGTCATATTTTATGCCTTCAATTTCCACTGCCCCTGTCTGGTTCTTGCAACGCTTTTTATCGCAGTAGAATTGATCGATAACTATTGGAATCCTCACATTCGACACCTGAATGCCTGAAAATGAGATATTCTTGACTGAGCCGAGTCCTCCCTGACAAAAGAGATTTGGAAAAGTAATTAAGGATTTTAGCATATGAAAAATGGAGTGATTCTGGATTTGGACTCCTCGAAGTTATTTTATGTAACTTGTGAATAAGTAATTATGGATTTGGGTCTTTGAAACAGTGTTTAAAAAATTGGCGATCCTGAATAAAAAATGGTCGATTCGGATCGGGAATCGGTTGGGCCAATCTAGTTCCCGCAAAAAATCTTGAACTGGATTCCCCCATGAACTGGTCGGTTCTAGCAAGTTCGTACTGGGAATAGAACCAGCCCCAACCAATCCTCTTAGAGTACTGGTTCCACTTTTTTTTAAAAAAAACAATTTATTTTCTTTACCATTGAAAAGGCCGGTTTTGGTCAGTTCTTTGATGAAACTGACCAGAAACGGTCCCACTTATTTTTTTTTTAAATTTTTTTCTAGACTACCAATCCGGATTACTAATTGACCGTACCAGATTGGAAATCTAGAGGAGCGATCCGGGCTACCGATCCATTTTTTAAAACATTGCTTTAAAGATTTGTTCTATGAGTTGTTTCTGTGTTGGATTATGCAAATAATGACATATCTCTCTCTCTCTCTCAACGCACCTGCCATGTTTTTATCCTGACACCAGAAAGAGCATCTTGGATGGTAATATTTTGGACAGTGACATTGTAAACACATGCCAGGCTATTATCTTTTCCCAGACTTCCTAAGCTGCATCACCAACCTTTTTTAGCACCTACTAACTTGGTTCCATACAAATAATAGCAAAACTTTAGGAACCAAATAAATTCCAAAAGAGAAAGAATAAAAGACAACTTTTAGTTTCAGTTTCACCTGATGCCATGACCAGGTCCACAATTAATGTGGTGAATGTTAACATTGGAGCAACCCGTTTGTATTGATACACAATCGTCACCTATCAAGATCTCCAAAATGTTAGAAGACTACTATCTGTATGGCTGGTCTGGAGAAAAAGAGGGGCTGAAGTCATGGTGGGCAGGGTAGCGGATGTCACAATATGATGTCTTGAGTTCAATACCTACCACAAATAGAAGACCTCTTCCCCAATTAACTACCAGATAGAGAGAGAGAGAATTTTACCACATCCTATTGTGGAGTGTTCAACTTCGACATCTTGGGTGTTCTGAATGTGAATCCCATCAGTGTTTGGACTATCACCAGGAGAAGAAATTGTAATATTCAAAACCTTAACACCACCACAGTTATCGAACTTCAGGTGGCACAGTGGACTGTTTATAATAGCAACATCACGAATTGTTACATTATAGCTCGCATAGAACCTCACAGCCTGCATAACTTTGTAAAATCAGAAACAAAAAGACTAAAAATCAGTTTAGACTGTTCATTAGAAGCATATCGGTTGAGAAATTAATAAGGGATGGTGTATTATAAGGAGGTTATGATTGCTCTTAGCCATTAGAAGTCAAATTAGATGGCATGAGGTGTCTCAAAATACTTTGAAGTCTAGTCAATGACATATTGACAGTCACCTGATTTGAAATCTGAAAGACAAGAGAGATTATGATGTCCTTACATTAAAATTAAACGGTCCCTAAGCTCAAATTTTGCAGCTAACTATAACTAGAGCTTTCACAGGTGTAAGTTGAGAGAGTTTATAATACTCACTGTTGGCTTTGTGGATGGAATATACTTGGAGCTTTTGCCACTAAACTGCATTGACCCCTCATCATAATAAGTAAATGCATTTATCATTTTGATATAGAAAACTTCATTAGAAACAGTAACATACCTTCTCAGACTGGATATCTGGTATGCCCCACCATGCTGAGCCCTGGCCATCAATGGTACCAGTTCCTTGGATACTGAAATTTTGAACCCATTTGAAATTTATCCACTGTAGCAAACCATTATTTGGCCATGCGCTCAATTGGCTTGGTGCTATAACTGTTCCATCTATCTGTTATGAATCTTCGAAAATGAGCTAGGCATACTGAATTTGCTAGTTATTATGTAACATGACAGAGAGAGAGGACTGGTTAGTTAAGTCCATGACCAACCTGAAGAACAAGTTGAGGCATGCAAGGTCCCTGTAATGTTACAGCACTGATGAGAAACCGGAATTCTGATGGAATTTCAACAATAGCTGAACCAACCTTGCACGCTGCTCGCCACGCTGCTAAAAGTGACTGAATTATAGCATTCCCCTTGGTGAGTTCACATATATAATGCTAGAATTTAAGTTTAAACCAGTATGAATAAGAGATACAGAGACTTGTTATCTATATAACTTAGTCATAGCCTCTTTTCTACTTTAAATCATAACAAATGAGTACAACTGAGAGAAAAAGAGCATATTTATTCGAAGAGCGAAACTTTTGAGACCTTGGAGTCGTCTGAAACACCGTCTCCCTTGGCCCCGAAAGAGAGAATGTCGAAAATGGTGCGTGTAGGCTGGTAAGAACCATAGTATGGAGGAGGAGTAGGCAAAGAAACAGGTGAATCCTTCTTAGACTCACTCCCTCTTTTCTTATGATGTTTATGAGCTTTGCTCCTTGCTTCTACAAGCAATGGAGAAGAGCCCAATATAAGAAAACCTATGAGAACAAAGAAAACCAAAGGGAATGGGCATTTCTTCACCATTTCCTTCTGAATTGGCAATGTTTTCAAGCTCTGACAGAGCAATGTGCTTGTCATGTGAGAAGAAGAGAATGTGGCCAAGTTTGAATATATAAGGAGAGAAAAGGCGCTTCAGAAGTTGGAGTTTTTCATTTTTTAGAGAGAAAGAGAGAGAGTGGTTGTGCTCTTTTGCAGCCTTGGCCTGGTTTTGTTTGAGAATATCCCTGCAGAAAAGCATGAGTGAAAGACTTTGAGTGCAAACTTTCCGATTATACTTCTGAGTTACATCGAGATTGTGGTCCTTTGTTCCTTAAAATGCAGAGAGAAAGAGATCAGTGTTCGCAAACTCGGTTGGTCCAACTCGGAACCAGCCGGTCAAGCAGGAACCGGGCACTGGCCAATCCGGTTTTGGTTCGTTTTAGTGGTCCGGTTAGGTATTTTAAAAAAATATTTTTTTAAAAAATACAAAATGGTAGAAAATAAGGGGTCAAAAAAATATAAAATCCTAAAAATATGGGATTTATTTATAGTGTGTTTTTTGAATATTTTAGTGTCCGGGCCTTGAATACTTATTTTTCATGTTCCTATTTTTTTTTGAAACTAACCCTGGACATAAATCAATTTTTTAAAATCAAATTTTTTTACTACTTTTCAACTTGATTTGGATGTGTTTCGTTTAATCTTACTTTAAATATATTTTTCATTATTTTTGAATATGTTTTCTATATTTTATTTTTTGACACTTTTTGAACCAGTCGGGACCTGCTCAGTTAGGCTGGTTGAACTAGCTAGTTTTCTAGTTACTCGGATGCAGCCTTTGGCCGGTTAACATGTTAACTTGAATATAATTTTTTATTTAATTTATTTGGAAAAAATATGTTCGTACTATACTTAAATATAATAATTATGGATTGATCCAAATTTATAGAAAACTTACACAAAGGTACACCAAAATGATATTTACAACATCATATAGGTGCTTCTTGTTGTAGTCCTTTTCTATTTTTAAAACTTTTACCTCTGGGTTCGAAGTTTAAAACATCAGACCAATTTATTTTATTTTTTATTTTTTTAAGTATATACCATCTAGAACATAATTGTCAGTTGAATTACTAGTTCGTAGTAGGGCAGTCTAATATTAGAGATATCAGACAGCCGTATATGCTTTCTTTTTAGGAACTGTGTTTGAAGTCTCCGATATCGGACCATGTACTTTAAAAAAATTATGAGGTATTGGTCTCTCTGCTATTTCCAAATGAAGAAAAAAAAAAAAAACAAAATAACAAGAGGGCCGGGCTGGGCCTGGCTGGAACGGGCCATTGCTATCCGAGACCGAGAGAGAGAGGGAGAGGAGTATACAAATGCTAGAGAAATATGAAATACAAAGAATTTCAAATATTTATTCCTAAAAAGCAAGTGTTCCATGCCCCCTTTTCCCTTTCGGCAGAAGTGGGGAATTTAAGGGGACACAAGTTCGGGCTTAAGCTAAGACACAGAAAAAGGAATCTGTAAGTTACACCTTAACTTTTCAGATATTACAATCAATTCCACTAAAAGATTTCCCCAAATATTTGTATTTAATAATGGCCACTCCATTTCACCCATTTTGGTTATTTAATTGTGATAAAGTGCTGGATCAGCAAATCAAAAGAAGCATAGTTTTAAAAATTAAGCAGATAAAGGGATTTCCCTTTTGGCAAATTTTATAAAATAAAGTGATAAAGGTAATGTGGTAATTTTATTAGAGTATGGGTGTATATACATTACACTTTTTAAGGGGTTATAGGGCCCTAGGGGGACCAAAGGGTGGCATCTTTTGGATATGGTTCACACATGCATGTAGAGAGAACGACACCAATTTTCATATGTTTGACAACCATTGTCTCCCTTTCTTTTATTGCAAGCGGTGGACCACAACGAGGTGTTTGCCCCTCTGGTGTGGAAGTTACGGCAGTTGTAATGACATCACATACTCTCCATTTCCACTCTCCATTGGCCGACAAACCTGGACCCGATGCCAAGTTATTCGGCCCGGATCAGGACCCAACTGGACCATCCGACTGAATCTGACCCAAAAACAAAAAAAATATGTATTTAAATGTTATATTGAATATATATATATATATATATATATATATATTATTTAAATATTATAACTTAATATTTATAGTTATATTTATTTAAATATTATTAAAATATTATATATTAAATGTTATTTAAATATTAACACTATTCAAGTGAGTCTACATGGACCAGGACCCAGGCCCGGACCCGTCGGGTCCAAGTTTTGGACCCATACCAGGACTTAGGTCGGGTCCAGTCGTTGGCTTCCAGGTCAGGTCCGTGACCAATTTACCACCCCTAATCCAACCCTCTCTCTCAAGGATGAGAAGGCAATATTTACATTTTAAACGGGACATATTTGGATGAACTCATTTCTTTAGTAGAATTTATTCAAATGATAAATTATCTATTATTTGGTAGTATCTATTTATTTAGAATAAATTCATAGGTAGTTTTATAAGTCTTTCTTTTTCAAAAGCTGTTTTTATTTTATTCAAAGTGATTTGCTAAAAATACATATTTTTGGCTAGAAATAGCTAATATAATAAAAATTTAAATATTTAAATAATATTATACATAATACGACATGCATATCCCAAACCAAACAATATAATATTATCTTGAGTATATTAATTTCATTATTATTAAGATAGTCCGTTCCAAATTGAATTATTATTATTAGGGTAATTGAGTGGGGAAGACATGGGGCTACTCATTTTTTTAAACAATTGAGTTAGGTTTTTGAAGGTGTTAGTAGGGTAATGTCAAACCACCACATGGCGACTATGGTGTGGGGGAGCTAGCACCACAACCCTGGTCCCTTTCTCATAAATGTGAAAATTGAAATTAATAAACTGAATTAATTGTGAGACCCAGGGAAAACCCTAGGAGTTAGGGTAGGAAGCACATCCTAGTATCTCTTTAGAATGAAAAGGCAGGGACGAACGCATTCTTTCTTTCTTTTGGTTGAGAAGCAAGATTTAGAAACCCTTATTAATCTGTGACCTTTAGGGGACTGGTACTTGGCCAAGAAAACTCCTTAAAAGAAGGGTTTTATTATTATTTTTTATTTATTTATTTAATTATTTATTTATTATTATTATTATTTTATATTTTAAATATAACTTTCGATAACTTTCCATTTGAAGAAAAATAGATATACTAGAATGTATAGATATAGCAAATGCTGAAATATTTTTATAATATTTTTAAGACGTAATGTCTGTATAAAAATGGATGATTTCGAAAATAGGAACCGATATAATAAGGATAATATTGCCTACATTTTTCAATAATAGGGACTATATTAGCAGCAATGATGCCTACATTCATTATGCGGTTTATATAAGGGGGTGGCCTCACAAAGAGAAAAAAAGAAAAAGAAAGTGTTGTACCTCCAAACACCTAAAATATGTTGTTCTTGTGCTACATTGCTTATTCTGGCTTGAAAATCTATTTTCACTTCTAATTATGAAGTCTAAAACTTCAAAATAGTACTGATATGGCGTATCAATGAACACTCAAAAACAGATGCTTCAGATAGTTTGTTACAAAATGTATTATTTTTAAAGCTTAAAATCCATTAATTTTCACACCATAATTCTAGAAATCGAGATGGTCAATTTGAGGCTGTGTTATTAGGACCAGATTGGCAATTAAACAACAAAGGAGCTAGTCGAGTTGAAACGGTTTGATCGATAGTTAATCCAATTGGACCATTTTCTTAAATATAAAAATTAATAAAATTGATTAAAATTTCAAAAAGTCGGAAAAAGTAAAGTAAAACCAAAATCTGTGGTGAAATGATGATGAGTGTCAAAAATTACACATTGCATGCCATTAAGTGAGAAATATGCATGTTATTGAGAGAGAGATGAATGCATGTTGAGGGAGAGAGAGGAATGATCCGTTATTAGGGTAACTTGATTTTTAAAAAAATAAAATGAAAACAAAATAAGTTTCCTTTTAGTCTCCACCAAAATTAATGTATAATTCCATGGAATCCTCTTCTCCCCTTTTACACCACCTTATTGCATCTATAGAATTACCTTCTATAAGAACATTTGAGCATCCTTCATTTCTTACTTCTCTAGCAGTCGTATCACCCACTGGCCCTGAAAATAACAATTTAGTAACTCCATAACTATCTCTCAAACCACCCAAACCTTCTTAGCTAAAATTGCCATATAAACTGTCATTGAAGTTATATTTTACACTTATGAACTACCATCGAAATTAAATTCTACACTTCTTTCCAGAGGTTGAGTTCAAATGTGAATTAATTGTAAACAACTCTCCAAATTTATATAGGAAGTTGACACTAAGAACCCCCCAAACTGCCTTTCTTACATATGCCCAATTAGCTTCCATTTTTCGACCCGTGACAACTCATGTATGTTAGTTTAGGGGCTTGCAAACTATGAGACCATTTATCTTTATTATGAGAAGGTCACAATTGCTCAAAATCATTAAATATCGAATTAGATGGCTTGGGGTGTACACAAAATTTGAGAAATTCATTTTTAAACTTTGAGGCTAGTCAATAAAACATCACAACCACCTAATTTGAAATCTGATGGACAAATGTGATTATGACCTCCTTGTATTAAAAGTGAATGGTCTCTTTATATATTTTTCTTTACTTTTAAAAACACATCTACTCCTTTCTTTACACAATTCTCACTTTACGGCGAACTTCACAATCTTCCAAATCATTTTACCAATTTTTGATGATTGTGGTACATTAAATGATGAAATTGACATTAATTGATATTGGAAAATGAATATATAAGGGACTTTTAGGATACCTGGATATGCCTATCCTAAGGAGATTACTCTCCGAAGAGAGGCCTATCCTAAAATAGGCATACCCTAGAAGGTTGGCATATACTGATTGGTTAGCATATGGTAAGAACAAAAAAGATTTAATTCCATTGTTTGGGTTATCTAGAAGATACATCTCTCATAAATTCATTACATCCAAGTTTTATTTTATTTTTCC